GTAACAGTATATGTCTGAAGACAATTAGCTTTTTACAATATATATACAATTGAGTAATTACACTATATACAAATCTTTCAACTGACAGTCATCCAACTTATACCGCCTTCTCAGGTTTAGGAACAAATTATCATATCCCTATCAGTTAAATGATTTAGAGTGAGTATTTAACGCCTGCTCTTTTAAGGCAATGGTTGATAAATTGAATGGGAATTAGATTATTTTTGAGAATTTTGATAAGGATCAAAATTTCGCGTTGTAAATCTATTGTATCTGTGCATATAGTTTTAATTCGTTGTATTTGATTAATTATAGTATTGTTAATTACTTTTTTGGATATGTTGGAGTTCCAATTTATTAATTTGTTAGTATTGAAATTGAAGTTTCTTGTTTTGTCAAAAAGTAAAAATTTTTTTGTAGTTAATGATTTGAAGATCTAGAAAGTCTATGCTATTTTGTGAATTATTAGTTTTATTAAGTGTAAGACAATTCGGATAAATCTCGGAGTGTTTTCAATTTTACCAAAATTATTAATTGTAATAAGGTCATCAATATATCTGTAGGTGTGTTTGTAGTAATTAGTAATTTAACTCTTGTGGTTGTAGATTTTTTTGGAAGTTAAATTCTTTGACAAATAAAAAGATATTACAGATCGAGGTGCTGGAATGTAAGCCCATTGGCAATCCTCTGACTTGTTTAAAAAGTTGATTTTGAAACTTGATGTAGTTATGAAAAAGTGTGCATTTTAGGTAGGTTTTCCATTTGTCAAGAGTCATGATATTGAGTATATTAGGGAAAAAGTTTAGGTAGATCAAGTAGACTGGTATAGATTTCTTCTAGAGGAAGTGAGGTATATAAGTTTTCAAAATCATAGCAGTTAATGTTTTGGATGTTAATGGTTTGAATGGTATTAATGACAGGAGTGTTATTATGAATGATCCAGCAATAGTTATGATTAGTGTTACAATCATTGAAAATAAATTTACAGATTTTATTAAGTTGAATTGAAAAATAATATAGTCTACATTTTTCTTGTAATTATTAGTTCCATTAGCTATAAATCTAAATTTTAATGGTGTTTTATGGAATTTGGGAATCGCATAAAGATTAGTAAATCTGTTGTAGTTTGCATTGAAAGTAATATTGAGTTTCTTATGAAAAGTTTTAATCCTGTTTATTATAGATGTTTCTGTAAGGTTGGCTAATTGATAAGTAGTTGCGTTGAGAAGTTCTTTATGAATAATTTCAGCGTAGAATTGTTTTCATATAATGCTAAAGTTATTGTTGCTTTATCTATTTTTGTAATAGTAAAAAGCTGTTTTTGTTTTAATTTATTAATATCTGATGTAAGTTGCGACCAATTCAGTGTACTTTTAAATTTGAGGTGACTGATTTCGGTGGATATGCGTTGAAAATTTTAGCTTTCCATTTTAAGAAGGATCTTTAAAGAGTGATGAAAATATAAACGATAAAAACATTTCAAATTCTGTAACAGTAATATAGTCATTTTCTCGCCCTAATTTTCTACATAAAACATACATTATACAGATTCTTCATTATTTAATTTCTTCAAATATTTGCCTAGGACTGCAAACTTTTGCACAGCCTTTGCACAGCCTTGCACAGTATGCTATTATGACTGCCAACTTTTGTGCCCTTGCACAACCTTGCAATTGCCTATGACTGCCAACTTCTGTGCTCTGGCACAGCCTTGCATGGTATGTCATCATGACTGCCAACTCTTGTGCCCAGTAATGATGAGAATGATGAATACAACCACACTGAAACATTGCCATTACCTAGAAAATCATACTGATGAATCAACCCATCTGATATCTCTCATTATCCGGAATTATACATCTATACATCGAGAGTTAATGCGGTTCCTTGTTTTCTTTTTCATTTAATTCGAGCGCGTGATGAATTTATGATTTAACCCAAAAAATCCGCACCGTAAATTAGTATCTGATTTATATTTTCCTTCCATTACTCATGTTACTGATCTTTCTTTCCGGTACGTATCTCGCTCCGCATAGACAAACTTGTAACTGAACGTTTAAACAACACAGCAAGACATAGGAGATAACGCAAAAGATCAAGTGCCTCGTTTAGCTCAGCGCCACCGAGCGTTATCGGCGGAGATTTTTCCGTATCTCTTAAATCGGCATTTGTTTGGGGAGCATCCCCTTCGAGTTAATCTCCGCAACGGACTTTGATTTATGGACTACCCTTCCGGAGATTGCTTTTATAGTCAACAAACTCGTGTTATGTCGACATCGATCTAAATATTATTCAAAAAGGAGGAAGAATTTTATGAGCCAATGACGAAACGCAGATTCCAGGAAATTATACGTAGGACATGTGTTGCACAGAAAAATGAGAATTTAGCATGAAAGCGATATGTGTTCAAGGTAGTCTGCTATTCGAATCCGCGAGGAAAGAAGTCTTGAAAGATAATCAGCGTAAAGAAAATTATGTTCGCTAGCAGAATCAGAACAGTGTGAAATGTATGTTTTCTTAGTCAAAAGAAAGTAAAATAAGTAATTTTGCTTGCTTATTTAAATATGATTATTTACTGAAAAATTATGCAAAAGAATATTTCTTATAAGTTTTATTCATTATACCGAACATAAAATATTTTTGTGCTTGTTGCCAACTTAAAAGTGTTTCATTGAAAATTCTAAATAAAATCTCTTGGAATAGTAGGACTGAGTTTAAGCCTACTGAAAAAAATCCTTATGTATTAAATTTTAATAATAAAAAAGTGAGTCAATTAAACTAAAATGAATTAAAAATCTGAGTTGCCACAGATTTGAATTCAATCAGTTTTCTTGCAAAAATTCTAAGCCTGTTTGAAATACATAAATGAACAATGATTTTAAAAATATATATATATGTAATAATAAAATTCCATAGTCAAGAATACACGTTAAAGTTCTAACTGTATGTTCTTTTCATTTTTAATGGCGACGTTCTCTTATTTGAAAGTACGTAGAATTAATTCCACAGCCCCGTAGTCAAGTTGTTTTTCCCGCCTTTTCTACACGTACAGTTTTAGAATGTTCTGGAGATATTTAAAGCGAACTGGATTGGCTGACATCATTTCTTGGAAGCTCCGCCTTTCCAGAGGCTATAAAATAACTCGCAAAAGGAATATCGGGGCTTTTTCTTAAATGTCACGATGCAGTAAACTTCATACAAAAAGTTATTAGTAATTCTTTTTATTTACTCCGGATATCTGATTTTTGTAACTGCTATTTCTCCTGAACAATAATAAATGGATCCTGTTTTTTTAAACTTATCGTCTGGTTATTTAAGCTACGACTAAAGCTGATACATCATTATATATATATATATATATTATCGAAAACAAAATAAATAAATCTAAAAAATCAGAAAGGTTTTAGATTTTAAATTACGTTTAAAGGGGAGTTTTTTTAACGTTTTGTGTGTCACCTTTATTTGTTAAATATCATGTTCTTTGTACTTAAACAATAAAATTCAGTTCAATAGCAAAGTCGCAAAATAATTTAAAATGAGCATATCTTACGATCTGAAGATAATTTTTTTTTCCTCGTACAGTGTTGCCATTGCTCGCTTTTAAATCGTTCAATTTTTAATCAGAAATTCGTTGAAGTGTTACAAAATCTGAAATCGACAATAAAACAAATTTCAAATTCAAATTAGAGCCCTTATTCTATGGAAAATTACGTTATTCAAATTTTGATGGATCTAGGTACCTTAATCACAGTGCGAGAAACATACATGCATTTACGCAGATTCTTCATTATTTAATTTCTTTAAATAAAAGACAAGGCGATAATATATGGTGGCACCGATTTGAAAAGTGATATAGCTTTTAAAGTTTTCGACGCAAAATGTCAGAATGAAATTAATAGTCCCGCAGGACAAATTGTCCCTTTGGACTAATACATTATTATTGTCCAAACAAAATAAATAAATAAATAAAATTTTAAAAATCTGAAAACTTTAAAATTTTACATTATGCCCAAGGGGGCGTTTTTTTAACGTTTTGTGTGTTACCTTTACTTATTAAATATCATGTTCTTTGCACTTAAACCATAAAATTCAATTTAACAGCAATATCGCAAAATAATTTTAAAATGAGCATATCTTTAGAATTTGCGAGACATTATGCGAAATACATACACACGTATGTACGTGCAGACATTACGAAAAAAAAAAAAAATCTTCTGAATCCATTTTAAATCTATTTTACAATCCATTTTCGGAATGAAGAGTCCTTTATCCTGTTCGTGTGTACAGATGTTATGCAAAAACATCGTTTAAAGGAATTCCAGAACGGATATTTTTGTTGAAATGATACCCGAAAGTTTTCGCGATTACAATACTTTCTTTACTTCGTACAAGGAAGTGAAAAGAATATTGTACTCACCACTTTTATTTTATTGGAAGAAAAATTGAAAATGTATGCGGATAGACAAAAAATAAGCTATTTTGTTGCTGTTAACAGATAAAGTACAGCTGAACCACACAGGATACGACACTGTCGAATTCAGTTTTTATTTAGTCAAAGGAAATGTGGCAACACGCGAAGTTGTTTTGTTTATAGATCGTTTGGAAGTTATTTATTAATTCTACCAGAACATAATTCTCTGAACGTTTGACATATTGTTTGTTTACATAGCTACAGTAGAAACCACGGGATTTCGGATCGGAGATATCTTTTATTTTGAGAGAATATAAATACATTTATTGTTGATGCAGGGGCGGTGCCAAAGCCGGTGCGGGGCAGCAGAATCTAGGCAAGGGAGAATTTTTAGAATTTAGAGAAGCACTGAAAACAAAATTTAGAAATAGCAAAATTTTGAGAATTTATGAAAGGCAGTAAGCAGCAGAATTTTAGACGCAGCAAAATTTCTGTAGAATTTAAAGGTAGGCAGAGAACAGCACTGTTATTGATGTAGCGTAGAAAATCACTTTCAGAAATTTATTAGACATATTTTATTTATTTTTAGACATTTTCTGAAGTACAGACAAAATTCAATAACTGATGTACAATATGGAGATTTTTAGTATGAAGCAGTTTCGCTTAATTCCAAACTAAGAAAATAAAAGGTAAGAAATTCCAAACTGCAGTTAAATCTCGGATACTAGTAATTATTGTCAGCTGATTATTCAAAGCAAACGGCGTTTTTTTAAAAAATTTTTGTGTGTTGCTTTTATTTATTAAATATTGTTCTTCACGCTGAAATCATAAAATTCAGTTGAACAGCAATATATCGCAAAATAATTTTAAGCTTATCTTTAGAATTTCCGATATACAGTCTCACGCGCTGGAGATAAAAATGTTTTTTTCTGTACAACGTTGCCATTACTCGCTTTGAAATCCTTGAGATTCTTAACCAAGAATTCGTTAAAGTTTTACAAAATATGAAATCGATCATAAAACAGATTTCAAATTTGGGCTTCCACATACCCATATTCGCAGTAGGATTACGTCATTCAAAATTTGATGGCTCTACGTACCGTTGTTTTATCACAGTGCGAGAAATATACATACATTTATGCAAATTTTTCATTATGTAATTTCTTCAAACATAATGCAAGACTCTAACATTGGGTGGCAATAGTTTGAAAAGTGAAACGTACATTTATAGTGTTCCAACGCAAAATCGCAAAACGAAAACAATAGGCCTTCAGGGTCAAAGCCCTTTTGGACTGGGAAAGAAAAAAAAAAAAAAAAATTACATGTAACAAAATTACAAATGAAATAAATATCCCTTAATACAAATATTAATTATCCTAATAAATAAATTAAGCAACTTCCCGTTGGCTGCTCCGACAAACGTCCAAGAGAAACATTAAATTTAAAAACCACACAGAATTATCACCCTCATTTTTCCAAGTGGCAACAGGGCTGATTTTCAAGAGTCAGCGTTTCAGTATATAACTGAATGAAAAACTGTTGCCAAAACCACATTTCTTAAAGAAAGAAACGATTCAAAATGATGCGATAAATCGAAAAGATAAAATAAAAAGATAAAAATGTCCCCCCCCCCTCAGTACAGTTTTGCCATTGCTCACTTTGAAATCGTCGAGATTCTTAATCAAAAATTCGTTAAAATGTTACAAAATATGAAATCGATAATAAAAAAATTCCAAATTTGGTCTTCGACATACCCATATTCGCAGGAGGATTATGTCATTCAAAATGGATGGCTCTATGTACCTTTATTTTACCACAATGCGAGAAAATACATACCATTTATGCAGATTCTTCATTATTTCATTTCGTCAAATATAATACAGGGCGATAAGTTCGAAAGTAGAAGTTATTTTTGGTGGCAACAGTTTAAAAAGTGAAACAGACATTCAGAGTGATTCGACGCAAAATCGCAAAACGAAAACAATAATCCCTCAGGGACAAAGCCCCCTTTGAGCTAAAATAATCTTTAACATAATCCATATAGTCGGTAAAATTAATTAATACTGTCTTTGAGTATAAAAGTATTAAGAATTCTAAAAATATTTAAATGTTAATAATTGTATTTAACAGTAATATTAAAAACAATAAATGGAAATTTACACTTATTTAAAAATCATTTTTAAAGTTTAACTAAACGAAAATATCATTATCGTACTTTTAATTTCATATGGTTGCTATAGTGAACATTTTCCTAAAGAAAGAACAAGATTGTTCATAAGAATGTAAGTTGATGGATGTATTTAAAATATGTTAAAGTCCTCGAAAAGGTGAAATAAATTGTAATATTTATTAAATATTTATTGTAAACATTGTTTTATTTTTTGTGTGTCACCATTATTTGGTGTCAACAATACCACTTCTGTCATTTCGATACACATACGACGTAGCACAGAAATGAATCTGTTACATCTTTGAAACATTTTGCTACGAAATTATTATTAAAACTTCAAATATCTTAATTTCATTTAGATTCACAATGCGTTGAAATCAATTATCAGTTTCTTTTATAATTGACGTTTAAAAGAAGATGAAATTTAAGCGGCTCAACAACTGTTTACTTGGCAATTCGAAAGTACAAGTTATTTTTACAAATGCAATAACGGGAATGACACCGACGCACCACAGATGGCGATAACATCGCTGATTGCTTTTGCATTTGCAATAAAAACAGCTCAGCCGCCGTTGCTGGCGACGCTGTGTCTGCAGCACACCTGTGTTCTCTTACTTCAGACGACTCACACCCAGGTCAGGTGCGCGCCTTGCTGAAAGAGGAACGCACGTGCGTGCGAACTGCAAGTGCAACAATCGGTAAATTCGTGTGAACAGGGGGGGGGGAGGCATTTAAGGAGATATAGGATATGCTCGAGACTTCTTTTATCAGTAGTTTTTCAGTTGTTTACTTCGTTTTTTCGCCACCATTAATACCCCAGAGGTCCTAATTTTTTTAACGGAATTCGTGAAGATATTATTTTCTACGTTAAGTGTTCTTTATTATTGTACTTTTATTTATTATTATTACTATCCTACAAGATTGTAGCGTAAATGCAGATCCCGTTCGTGATAAAAGGGTTGATGTTTCGTGACGTTACTGGACGGCAGTGGCATTTTACTAAAGCCAGGTGGCCGGATAATTATTCAGACTTCTTTTTTTTTTTTTTTTCCAAGATCGTATTTTTATTGTACTTTTTGTATTTACGTCAATTGACGTATTAGTGAAAATTATTGAGTTGTGTAGTACATGATCTAATTTAATTATAAATAACATGTTTACGTTGTCGGTTGACTGGAAATATTTTTAGCGAAATAACTCGAATTTATTTTAACTAGTTAATTTTTAGTTACCACAGTCGTCAATAGTCAACTTGTTGTAGGAAGGTTTGATTAAAATATCAAGCTGCGGCATATTACTTGGAAGTTGTCTAATGTTAGCTTTCGTGGATGACTTTCTAAAAGAATTCGCTGATTTTCCAGTTTTGAAAATAACGACGAAAATTTCGTACATAGAAACCCTTGATTTCACTAGTAATCGAAAATGGAATAAATTACGTCGAAAACTGCAAGAAGCAAAATCTGACTCCCTTTGTATAGCTTATTAAATTATAAACATTTTTTACTTCACTTCATTTAAGCGTATTTCCTCCAGTTATTCTAACGTAAATAACCTATCCGTCAAGTTGAAAAATGCATCAAAAATTTTAATTTGAAATTAAAAAACATCCTAGTCAATTTTTGTCGTAAGGAAGTCAAGCTTTTTATAATTTTTTATTTCCTTGTACGAAATAAAGGAAGTATTATAATCGCGAAAAATTTCGGGTCTCGTGTTTCAACGAAGATCCATTTTGACATGACTAGAATTCATTTGAACGATGTATCTGTGTGTTAACTGTACGTACGGACAGAATAAAGCACTCTTGTTCCCAAAACGGATTTCAAATGGATTCAGAACAGACCTTTTTCGTGACGTATGTACGTATGTATCTCGCATGGTTGTAGGAAAAAATGTTACCCGGAAAAAAGGGAAACGGAAAGAATGTCCCCGGAAAATAAGGAACGGAAAAAATGTCCCCCTTCGTTTGCAATGGGAAATATAAGGCATGTTTAGAAAGATCGCCAAGCTGGGTGATAAAAGTTTTATCTCAACAACCGTAACTTCGGATGACCGGAAACATGTGCGAGTAGAAGCAAGAAGATGTGTTGGCTGCTTGTTTCTTCCATGGAGCCTACCTCCATGGTTTCTTCGTTAAGGTTAAAAATAGAGGGTTGTTTAAGAGCGGAAAGCTTTCGCGATGGAAGCCAGGGGGAAAGGCGGTTGTCCAGCGTCGGTCATTGTCAGGTCTTTAGTAATTACTCTCCTGGCACCGCATGTAGTTATAGCCTTAAGCTGCGGTTTAGTGAAACATTTATTGACGCACAACAGAAAACGAATTCATCCTCAGCTTTGGTATAGAAACAGTTGTAGATGCAATTTCAAGTTACGGTTTGCGATAAGAATAGTACTAAATTTTTAGCTAATTAATTTTCGCATAATTTTTTTTTCTCATTTGATTTTAATTAAAAGTAACGTATCTGCACAGGAAACAATTGTTTAATTTTGCACTTAAGTTTGAAAACAAGAATACCACAGTTATTAAAATTAAGAGGTTTATTTCAAAATTATTAGTCCCTGAGGGAGTATTGTTTTCATTTTGCGATTTTGCGTCGAATCACTCTGAAAATCCGTTTCACTTTTCAAACTGTTGCCACCAAATAAAACAACGGTACCTAGAGCCATCGAGTTTTGAATGACGTAATCCTACTGCGAATATGGGCAACTGGAAGCCCAAATTTGGAATTGTTTTATTATCGATTTATATTTTGTAACGAATTTTTGATTAACAAACTCAAGAATTTCAAAGCGAGCCATGGCAACGTGTTGTACAGAAGAAACATTTTTATCTCCAGCGCGTGAGACTGTGAATCGGAAATTCTAAAAATGTGCTCAATTAAAATTATTTTGCGATACTGCTCTTGAAACTGAATTTTATGGTTTGCGAAGAATATGATATTTAATAAATAAAGGTAACACCACAAAATGTTAAAAAAAGGCCCCTTTGGAGCGTAATTGCAAAATCTGAAACCTTTCAGATTTTTTATTTTACTAAAATTTTAAAATCTAATTAAAATGGATCCTATAACCACGCGATATATGGAAACTTTTCTTTATTAGAAATAAACTTTACGAATTATTAATTGACCATTAATATAGTATTGTGTGTGATTCTGTTGAAGTTATAAAAAGTAAAGGAATTTTAATAACGAATCATTAGGTTTTAATAAACAAAACCGAAAATTTTCGCGATTACACTTTCTACAACGGCCCATTAGCGGCTGAGTGGTAAAGTCACTGAACACTGGTAGTTCCGTTCAGGGTTTTAAATTGAATATGTTGCTTGGAGATGGTATATGGAAACTTTTCTTATTAAAAATTATGAATTATAATTGCATTAATATATATATTGATACATTTTGTGTGTGATTATATGAAGTTTATATAAAATATAGGAATTTTAATAACGAATCTACAGTTTGAAAAAAAATGCGAAAATTTTCGAGATTGCACTTTATACAACGGCACCATTAGCGGCTGAGCGG